TCTTCCGACCAGCCGGTCCACGCTGGCGCTCTTCGTTCTTCCTTCTCGAGGTTCGTTTTGCGAACGAATAACGCGCGATACGATCGACGAATCGCGCGCGCCGGCTCGATAAAATCTTAATCGAGTATACACGCGCGTGTAACAATTACGCGAGCGTAAACACGCGGCCGCTGGAACGAGCAGCGGTGTCCTGCTATTATTCACGCGACGCAACGAAATTGCAAAAGGAAAAATCCGCGGGAAATAATGTCCTATTTACGATAAAACATTATCGGCTATTATACTTTGCCGGGTCGTTCGGTTTCGGGCAATTGATAGGTTATCGGTGTGTTTAGGGTGGCAGCGAATCCCCATAGCAACGTCGGAATACATTTCCACATGATTCCGTGCATACTGTCCATGTCATGAGTTTGGGGTTAAATCTGCGCCTGTATCTGTGCCAACATTGCACTACCTTCTGGCACATTGTTGCCCTTACACATGTGCACCGATCTCACCCTGTCCCGCCGCCCTCCTCGCCCCTCCGTCCCCCTCGCTGCGTCTCTTTCTCTCCGTTGACCCCTTTAATCCCACCATCGCCTTGTCTCTCCCCGACTCTCGCCCTCGCTCTCACCCTCGTTACAGCTGGCTCTCCCTCGCTCTCTCCCTCTTCTAGATACACATCTCGGATATGTGCAGTCAAGGGGAATGCGCTCCGGTGCACGGAGAGCGGGAGAAAGAGAGAGACAGAGAGAGAGAAAGACGGGGAGTTTGTCTCATCTTCCGAATGCACAGACGACGGAAGTTAGCCAAATTTTAGAGAGGTGTAAAACGACTCTGCCGCCGTGCAACCCTTGTTTCGTCCACTCCCGTCGTCTTCTGTTCGCCCGGAGAGAAAACAACCTTGCTCTTTTTATTTCCCGATTATTCGCCTTTCTTTTCTTTTTCCCACCCCCCGCTCTCCCCTTTCTTCGGTTAACCTTATTTCTACGTAGAGGTAAACACCGAGGTGTAATAAAGACTCGCGGGAGGAAAGTCGGGCCGTTTCTCACCGGATATTTTAATATTTCGAGATACTATAAACCTCGAGACGTAATTTCCTTGGTAGCCTTCTTTGGATAAAGTTTACGCCTCAAACAGTGCGTTCGTAGCTCTGTTAAATTGAATTTTGCAAGTGCATACTTTGCCTCGGAGGGTTGTTCCAAGTATGCGCATTTCAACGTTTCGCCATGAAATTTATCGAAATACCCATTCAGCTATTAATAAAACGTAACTTCAGCCGGCTCTCCGCGTTGCTTTCGTTAAAAATTGAAATGGACCGTGGACAAGGAGAATTTACTTATGCATACGCGAGCAGCTCTAGCTAGAGCTGTTCCCCCGCTCTAAATCACTCGTCGTGGCTTTTAACGTTTAGGTGAAAAACAACTCTAGTCGACTTAACTCTGGGGTAATTATCGACAATCGCGAAGACTATCCCGAGGGTAGGAAGCCTACTCCAGAGGACACGCACGAGCAAGTGCGTACGAGATCTTTGATGGACCCGTATCGAGAATTTACAGCTAGCTAATTGCGTTTGCGCGTAAGTGGCGCCGCCTAGGCGATTGAAAAGTAGGAGATTAGCAATTTCGAGGGACTTGCTTCCTCGCGGCAAGTTTAAAACTACGTCTAAATATTTAAATAGAATCGAGTTGCGAGTTCAACTCCCGCCATCGGTTTCACTGCCGGCTTTAACGTGATTACAAAGTTGCCGCAGTTTGCTCGGTCTCCAGAAACAACGGGGCCCGAATGTAATACGCGAATAATCAGCCGCGATTCCGTATCCGATAACGAACGGTTTTCGACGTCTGGAGAGTGTGTGCGAGGCAGGGATGGAAAATGGCGGGGAAAAACTAGCCGGGATTTAATTAAAACGATATCTCCGTGTAAACGAAATCAATAAGGGGGAAGAGCAACAAAAGGGCGAGGTAGCGTAGCCAGAGAGCCATCTCGCCAGTCCGAAAAGTCAATAGAACGCGGAGGAGGGGAACCCTCTTAGGAAATCACGACGATAAATACATGGAGAGACGAATAGGACAAAGGAGGAAAAGGAAAAGCCCGTTCGTGTGTGGGAAGATTTTTCTTTGTGCGCCGCGCGTGATACCTCTCGGTTACACCGTTCTGCTCTATCGTTTTTCGCGTGTCCCTGCGATTAAGACGGAAGGTTTGTTTTCAGAGTCGTGATTCAGGGGTGGAGAACACGGGAAAGAGAGCGACCAGCTATCGCGAGTTCGACGGAGACGGCGAGTCGAACGGTGTGTGTACCAAAGACAGAGGAGAAGCGAGAGGTCTTCCTCGAGACTGACAATGAGAGGAAACGAGCAACGATGTACGTGACCGAGAGAGAAAGAGCAGAATCTGTGGCCAAGTGCATTAGTAGCGATGGGAACGATACACCCTCGTAACTCGGCTCTCGAAACAGTCGGATGTAACGAGTTTGTTCCTCGCTGACACGCGTAAATAAATCACGGGTCGACTCGAAACGAGCTACTCGTCGCGTCTCGTGATGCATTAGAGATTAAAATCCAACGATGGAATGCGTGCAAGAAGAGATGATCTCGGGTAAGAGACATTACGAATTCGATAGACCAACTGTAGAGACTCCATCGTAGTTTCGTTCGTGTCCGTTGATCGACCGATAGAGAACAGTCCATGTTCGATCCGGTGTTTAGGTGGTGAAATTAATGTCGTGATTGCGTATAGCTGGTCGAGGGGAGAAAACGAACGAGTAGGTAAAGTAGCGGAGGAGAGATTGAACAAACGGGAGAGCAAATAAGTGACCGAGGGTGAAGGGTGAAAAAGGAAGAGGCAAGGGTGAAAGCCGAAAGAGGAGAAGAGATATAGACCGGGGAAAGAAAAGATGGAGAACGGGATGTAAACGAGGGGCGAGAAAGACGAGCAATGGCGGGAGGGTAAGAGAGAAGAGTAAAAGAGAGAGAGAAGCGAAGTGGCGGGGTTTGAAGGAGGACATGGATGAGCACGGAGCTAAAAGATGAAAGTATAACCCGGGCTATACACAGTGACTCGGAAACTAAATAGAAGCGTTACATGGTGGCGTGGACAAACAAGTAGATTTAAATTCCATCTGCGACTGCTATTAACCGTTGCTCGGTTAAGTGCAAGGATTATTTGTAGGAAGAAATAGCGACAGAGTGAAAAAATATGTTGGCCTTGCTGCCGGGAGAAACGACATTGTCAAATTTAGCGGGGGTTCCATTGAAACGTCCAACTTCTTATAGCTAACTCGGCTGGCAGTTGGAGTGCAAGGGGTTAAAACCCGGCCATTTTACTTGGCTCAAGGCTCTTTTCGCCGTGGGTAAACGGATTTACTCTCGCAGAGCCACCGGTTCAAGTGCATCTCACAATTGCCCCTCGTTGAATCTCAATTCTTTCCGGACGATTCGATTTGCCGCTAACGAATCTTGCAGTTATATAAGCTGATTGCGGAGGAACATCGTAGACGAGCGATGTTAATTAAATACGACAACATACTTGCCGTTGTACGAATAAATAGGCATATTCCCGCGTGGCATAGTCGAAATTGTTTAACCGGGATTTCAATTAAATGGCCGGGGTTTTTAATCGCGCCCTCTGTTCCCCGTCATTCGATTCCGCGAAGCTCGGCTCACGCGAACCACACGCAAAGGTCGAGGAACGATGAAAAGAATACCAATACTTATGCCACGCCGTGCGTTTACTTTTCTTCCTCGATTTACACGCGTTCAACGTCCCGGTAATAAATTTCTCACCGATGTTTGGTATATGAGTCATTACGAACATTGTTCGATCCTCGAGATACACGAAAAGCGTAAATTGCGTTTGCCCCGCTATCAGTCACGTGTGCATGCACGACTGCGGCAGCCATCTTTGCGAATTAATTTTCTATCGACGAATTTCCTTTTCACGTTTTCGTAGTCGATTGTTGCCCGGTTTCGCCCATTTTATCGCCTTTTTATCGTCCCCCGCTTGATCCCGTGCTTCGAGCTTTAATCGAGAGCAATATCCTACAGTTGAATTAAATCCCACAAATCAGCAGAGGTCCAAGAGTTAGGTCAAACTTTGTGAAAATGACGTCGCCGCTGGCATCAACGGACAATTAAATTATCGCCGAAGCAGAGTAGGTAACGATGCACTCGAGGTACAACATAAACCACGAGTTACGTTGGCTGGATTATGTGTATACATAACGAGCACATAGGTGTTTTAGCTGTACACGCGACAAGTAGATCTATGTAGAGGACGGGTCAGATTACTGGGAGTTTAAGTAGCGCAGGGACTTGACCGTGCCTCCACCTGTCGATGGGAGGTCGGTAAAATAATAGCCGGGATAGGTCGGATCGGTAAAAGAGGTTCCTACCTTACTCTCGGGAACAGTGAAAATCTCGCCGAGTTGCATCGAAATTGATAAACTCGATTATCATCGGTTATTTGCCTTGTCTTCGAGGAAATTTACTTTAATTCGACGAGAAATTTAATTTAACATGGAAAGACTGTTTTAACATTGCCTGAAAGTTTTATCGTAAAGAAAAGTTGCACGATGAAACACGCAGAAAACTTTTTGTCCCAGTTTCGAAGATATAGTAATATACAGAAGTTGCGAGCAAATACATACATATTTATAGAGTCTATAAAAGCAAGTTTGAAGAGATTTAGTAGCAGAAAGGGGGTCGCTTAAATGATAAGTTAGTGACATACGCCGATAATAACTTACGCTGGATAAAGATCAAACGATTACGTTTATTAATAATAAACGTTCTTCCAAGCCACTTTCAACTTTCTTATCCATTTTATGTGCCATTTTTTTCTCCCTTCTTTTTTTCTTTTTTTTTTTTTTTTTTTTTTTTCTTTTTCATTATTTCATCTAGGGATTTTAATTTACCTAGGAATTTATTTCATTTCTTCATTGCAAAAATACACACGTCCGTGAAAAAATATCGATATTGAAAGAAAAAGAGAGAAAAAAAGAAATACTTGTCTGATTGCAGGACGAAGTACTGACGATATCGGAAAAGGTGGTGGTCCGTGTCCATGATCTCGTCACGTGGTTATCGCCCAAGTTGGAATGGTCGTGGGGCCGGGAGGTATCTTACCCACCGACCCCAACGTCGTCTCCGGAGAACAGTCCGCTAAGGTACGAGATACCTCAGCCGCAGGTGCTCACCGACCCTGGCATCGATTTCTCGGACGTCGATAAACAACAGAAGGAGTACGAAAGCAGTCACAACACGCGAAAGTCGGACTGTAGTTCCCAAACGAAAGTGGTGGTGCTCTCGTACCCCAGGTACTGTCGATATCGAGCGCTGTTACGTAGGCTCGAAGGCGCCGAACCGTCCTGGCTTTGCTCGTCCATAGCAGCCGCACTGGGTGGATTCACCGCCACACCAGGTACCAGGGTACTCTTCTGCAGAGATACCTTTGACTACCCGGACCTTGAAACCCACGAGCTCCTCTGTAACCATTTAGGTAGGTAAAGTTACCAACGGAAACCGATACTTCCTTTCGTTTTGTCTCGCTGATTAAGAAATTCGATCGAATTAATTTACGTTCATACGAAATTACATATATATATATATATATATTATACGGTATACGTTATAACACGTTGTTCTTCGAGCATGAGCCGAATGTTCTTTTGGTAAAAGTAAAAATCGCGTTAACACGTATTGCGTCATTAGATATTCGCTTTGACAAATTAGGGTAATATCATTTACCGACCGAGACTAACACGTGGTCTGGACAGAAAATTGTATAGTCTAGATAGGCATTTAAAAAACAACAGAACGTATCCAACGAGGCTAACAGGAAGAACGTTATTGCGAGGTTCCATCGAGCACGCCTACCTCGATGTGTTACTTTGTTGGCAAGACACTTCGTACTAGTAACGGTGACAATCGTAATCCGGATTAACACGTCCAATGAAATAAACATCCGTCTCCGTGTATGGATTAAATCGATCTGTGAGGGTTTTTCGAAATTTTAACAGTGAAAGTAACAAAGTGACGGTGTGCCTCGTGTATCGTGAATATCGATCGACGTATCCGTTAAGTTCGTTAGGACAAAACTCAATGGGTATCGTGATGAAGATTAAAGAGAATCAGATTACGTATTTTAAAGTAATTGGTGAGTGCTGGTAACGAAAGCATCGTGTTTTATACGCAGACAAAGAATCGTCATAGGAATGGTTAATATTTCGGGCGGGATTTGAAACGTGATATGCGCATATGAAATGCGTAGAAGAACACAATAGATACGATTACATGTGGTAAACTAACCTATGTCGCGCAATAGATGTATCATGTAAAATACGTGTAGTGCCACTATTTAATTTGCAAATTTCATTTGCAAATTAACAATGCAAAATTTTCATAAACAAGAATCGATGTTTCAAGGTTTGTCCTTTTGTTTCATTTACATTTCAGATTTAACCACGTGGTATCGATCAGTACGTTTCCATTACTGACGATGTAGAACACACGGAAATATAAATTATAATTTTCCAACTGTTGTTACATTTCGAAATGAATCGTTATCCCGTAATTACTAAAATGTTACGTAGCGTGTATGAATAGCTCGTGTATATCGTTCGTGTAATAATAGCTTGCGAAATGCAACTGTCTGTGTCGATTTGTTCGTTCGGATACTACCGATGCTTCCTGTCGAAACGTTATAATAAAATTTACACTTCGAAATTGCAGTGGAATTTCAATCGAGAAAAGTTGAACAAAGACGAAACGATACTTAACCGAGATTCTTCCATGTTCGCTTTTTATAAAGGAAAATCAAGAAATGTCACGCGATCGTGTAATGGCTGTCTTTTAAAGTGAAACGGAAATCGTGCGAGACACGAATTATCTCGTTATTTAATCCCGACGCTAATCGTCAGTGTTTTTATGCATCGCATTAAAAGAAACAACGGAGATGTTATAATTCTTCGTGGTGAAAAAGGCAGAAATATTACGCGATCGTGAACGCATGGAATATATCTTATAGCGATTTCGAGCGTTGTCTGCTGCGACGCAGCGATTGTTATCGACGTTCTTCTCGACGCGTGCGTCACCACTCGGCATTAATGTGAACTATTTTTTAGCGCCAAAATTGAAAGGAAGGCCGAGGAGGAAGCGTAAAAAGCGCAGCGCATCGCCCGGCGAGTCGAGTAACGAGAGCGAAGCTTCTGTTGCGTCCACCTCGAAGAGTGCCCCAGCGAGTTCGAACGTGGTGATACCGAGCGTTGGCAGGCCTCCTTCGTCGGTGGTACGGCGAAGCGAGAGGAAGACCACCGCGGAGGAAAAGAAATTTCTTACGGATGTGCAGAATTTCATGAACTCGCGGGGTACGCCTGTCGGAAAGATGCCACTGCTGGGCTACAGGCAGAGTCAGTATCTGTGTGACGTTTTTTTTTTTTAACAATTGGCGAAAGATTTTAGACACCTTTAAGATTTGATACTTCTCCCTTCATATATAAATATATATGCATAGAGATTTTCATCCATTTAATCGAATTTAAACAGTGATTGGTACTGTTCGAGGCTGATCTACAGCAGTGTTTCCTTTTGACAAATCCATGTACTTACGATAAATTTATCCTAACGATAAATGTTATCGGGAAAGCGTTGAACTTTTATCCAACTAACGGCCACCTTCTGCTTACAGTCGATCTCTTCCTGTTTTATACGAAAGTGCAAATGCTTGGTGGCTACGATTCCGTCAGCGCTGGTCGGCTTTGGAAGAATATATACGACGATATAGGAGGTAATACAGGATCTACCAGCGCTGCGACTATCACACGACGACATTACGAGAGGTAAGAGCACGAGTATCGTACGAATAGGATAAACGATGTTCTATCGTGGAACGATTAATAAAACGGCTGTTACGAATTTAGGTTATTGTTACCGTACGAGAGGTATCAACGTGGCGAAGAAGCGAAAGTTAGACTGACACACGGAAGACGAAGCAAAAGTAGCAGCGTGTCCGAAGAATCCGAGGATATTAAGCAAGAAACGAGCGATTCGTATCCATCGGAAACGCCTCCCCCTGTAGAAACGAGTCTTACCACTACATCCCCTCCCCTTCAACCAATTGTATCTACAGCGGTAAGTAGCATCGAAACGGTGAAGTATGATACTCGTCCCGTGATCACGGTACGTTCGACTTAAACGATTTGCTTTTACAGCCGTTCCTTTCGAATGAAAAACCTAAAACGGAGACCGGCAAGACATCCTCTCTGCGAAGTGTACGAGTGAAGCCAGAACGCCTGAAGTCATTAAATACCATGATCGCCAATAGTACGCCGTCACCCAGCCAGCAAGCCAGCCAACTGCCAAGTCCGCCACCTTCTTCTAATACATCAATTTCAACGCCGAGCAGTACACCCTCTACCACACCCACGAATGGTACTGGAAGTCAAAGCGTGTTGGAGAGGCAACTAAACAGCCCTCTAATATCGCAACAAGTTCCACCGTCGTGTTCGCCACCGGGTCTGCCGGTAACCACAGTGGTAACGAATGCTTCTACGGTCGTAACGTTAACACCGCCGCCTGAGAAGGATATGAAAGAAATCAAATTAGATCCTAAACAAACCACCCTGCTGGCACAGGGTAAGGAAAACATCCCGTTGTTCGGTGAAAAGTCAATTTTCGCGGAAAAGGCGATAGTGCCTCCTAGATCGCCAGAAGTGATCGACCTCGAAACGGAAAGCGACACGAGTAGGGATAAGATAATCATTCCCAGCTTCAAGAAGCGCAAACTCGAAATACTTCGCGAAGGTGGTCTCGAAGTCACTGCCGTTGATCTGGACACGCGACCCAGCGTGATACAGACCAATCCCCCTGTGCCAGCGACTATGAAATCCGAAGAAAAGCCGCCAATATCGTACCCTCTTCCAGTCACGCCTAACTCCATTCCTAAATTGATTTCGGTTACCGTAACACCGGACATAGGACATATGTTATCATCTCCGCAAGAGCACCAGCATCATCATCATCAAGCACGGTTACAAACACCGACTAAGCAGCCACCCGCTCATTATAATAATAATAATAATAATAATATAACGATGAACAACAATAACATGGTGAACAGCCGTATAATAAATCTTGGTACTTCTAACAACGCGGCGTTGCTTCAATTGTACGCGAACGCAAACGTTCCGCCACCGGCGTCGTCGGGGTTGCATCAAGCAAATCATCGTTTCGTACCGCCAACTGTTCCTAACGGTAGGATATTTCCGCCCAAAGTGACACAGTCGAGGTCGATATTCGCACACAACGAAAAAACGGTTTATGGAGATCCAAAAGAGATGTCTATCCCTCCAAAGTATCGTCCCTCTCTGTATCGTTTGCAGCCGCATCAGATACACAATAATAACGACCCCGCGTACGGCGGGGTATTGGACTTAACGCAAAAATCTAACAGCAAGCCGGTGTTTCCAAGGCCGAGCTTAGAAATAGTGAAAGTACCTGTAGTGCCGAGGCCTAATCCATTAAATTTGGAGATGAGGAACTCGTCCACGATTAAAGAGAAACCAACAGATTGTTCGAAACGAAGTACCTTTCCTGGTTACCAGAACGTACTCGACAGTCGAACCATGGCTTCGAATAACTTAGAAATTACGATCGTAAACCCTAAGCAAAAGAATAATCACATAAGTGCGCCGGCACACGTTCGCGTGCCGAGTCCACCTAGGAATAGTGCGATACCTATGCAAAGAAGACAACAGCTGAACGGCAAGTATACGACGAGGAGTGAACCAGTTTCACCGTACACACCTAGGAAGCCGAGTCATCCTGTTATACCGAATGTACCTAATCTAAATCACCTGAATAGTGGAAACTATCCTAGAATGGCAAGCATTCAACAACAGAACACGATCGATAGGAGAAAAAACGTAGAAACGAGCGGTAAGGAGCAGCACCATCATCAGCAACACCAACACCAACACTCGCATCAACACCATCAACACCAAAACCAACACCATCATCAACACCAACACCAACAACAACACCAGCACCAACATCAGCATCAACACTCGCATCCACACCAACACCCACACCCGCACTCGCATCCACACCCCCATCAACACCAACATCAACACCAACAACACCAACACCACCAGCACCAAGCGCATCAGCAACACCAACAAATACACCAACACCAACAACAGCAGCAGCAGCAACAGCAACAACAACAACAACAACAACAACAACAACAGCATCAACAGCAACAGCGTCGAATCAGCGAGGGTGACAAGTCATTAATCGCTCAGCAACAGCAACAGCAACAGCAGCAACAGGAACCGAGGCAAACCGAGGCTGGAAGACGACACAGTGTTCCCAGTATACCTTCTGGTTTTGTACCTGCGGTGCCGCAAAACAATCCAGCCTTCCTTCCGCAACTGCCAAATACGCCCGGCAAGTTCCTACCGATTTTAGACCCCATGTACTATTCCGCGTTCTATAATGGTTTATTTCCGCCGATTCCGCCCACGGCTGCCACGTCGTTTTTATCGCCGGAATTCAGTGCGTACTACAAAGAATTACTTGCTTCCTCGCAACCAAGACTGGGGATGGCGGGGCAGCACCAGCCGGCTGCCCCAACGTCTAAGTAGACAATGGGATCTCATGTAGGGTTTCCGATGTGTAGCAAACGTCGGTTTCATTTCTAAAGACAAAGATCCGTCGGATTCCTCGCTTCGAATTCTATTTTCATTGAAATTACTCGAGAGGACTTCCTCGTGCGTGTCAATAATAAAGACATTCAGCGAACGACTAATAATCGCTGTATTATAGAAGGACGTGTATTTGCGTTATCGTTTAAGGATTTTTCCATGATCATTTGAATACACTGTCTTTTGAATACCATTCTTCTAAATATTCGATTGTAACGATATAGGGAGAAAAGAGAAAAGGGGAGGGGAAAAAAAAAAGATGCAGTTTCGTTCGAACCCAAAGGAGAAAGAGAGAGGAGAGGAGATTATTCGAAGTTCGAACGTAAAACGATGATAAATGGATACAGTGAAATAGGTGTGTACATGCATATATCATGCAATAAATTAGGTAATAATTTTTTATATGTAACAATAATACGAGATAACTTCATTGTAAATGGAAATCGATGAAACGATGTTTCGGTCTTATTTTAATTTTTATAATATATTCGAGAGAATATTCGATATTAATTAAGGAAAAACGAGCGTACTAAAACACTGTGATAACGATCAAAAAAAAAAAGAAAAAAAAAAAGAAAGATAAATGCTGAACTCACATTAGAAACGAGTGAACGCAATTGACTCTTTTCATACGAAAATACGACGATTTTTTCTACGTTCATTCTTCACCGAGGTTTATGTGTATAGTAACTGCAACGTCGAATGCTAGGAATATATAATATCAATCAACAAGTTCAAGTATAACCTCTTATTTTTTCTTTACTTTTCTTTTTTTTTTTGTAACACGCAAATTTTTCGAGAGATTAATTCGATTCTCCATCTCATATAGGTCCGAATTCCTTCATTTCGAACGTGCGATGTGATAACTAAATAAATATATAAATAAATAAAGAAATATATATATATATATATACATATACATGTATATCGCATATACATATATATGTATATGCGAGATCTTTAACCGACGGATCGTCAGAATGTATAATTGTTTATTGTATAACGATAAATCTTACGTAGTAACGATCGCGAAAACCCTATTCTACTGTGTAAGTTTAGACAATTTTCATTGTATTGACACGTACACACACAATCACCATACACACTGATCTGTAGTCAGCTCTAACAAATAAGTGCACGCAAGCGATGTTATAGCAACGAGATATGTACATAATGTATATAATCACGTATTCGTTAAGCTAGATAAATTCCCTGCATTATATCTTTCAACATTATGTAAGAGCGTTAAGATTTAGTAAATGTACAGGCTGTCTTATTTGTGTGGCCAACGATAGTCGTATCGCTACATACATATATATATATATATATATATATATA